TGGGAAAAATGGAAACGTTGATTAATTCTCTCATATTTTTAAAGGCGAATGGGCTACAGAGTGCTCCAACCATTGTCGTATTGCTTTCCTGTTCTCTTTGATTATCCTGGAAAAGCTGTGGCAGGCAGTTGATGAGAAACGTCGTTCAAATCACGTAAGCTTAGAGATGGAGTACTCCTGCCCCGGCCAAATTTTCCAAAGGGCCTTGCTGCACCTCAGAGTGAAAAAGTCCTGTGATGTGGATCAGATTCCCCCGGAGGTAATTAAATGTGACGGATGGAAATGACGGGAACGCTATCTCATAAAATATGATCCTCAAAGTACTCCTCTAGAGAATTTAAATGTTATTTCCCATTTAAATATGGGGACGGGTAACCGAGTGGTCTAATTATCGTTGTATTATCCTGCTGTCTACTCTCGGAAACTATTCCCTGCGACTATCCGGGAAAGGTCGAGCCATGCAGTTGATAGTAGACGGCCAAAATCAAGCAGACTTCTGGGTGTGGTATTCAGAGTATTCATTCCCTGACCAAATTTTTCTTTCTTATTATCACCGAGCAATGCCGACGATTCCAGAACGCTTGGTTTGTAAGTTTTCTCGACTTTGAAGCTGCATTTAATTCAGTACATCGTCCAGCGACGTGGAGAATCTTACAATTTTGTGGGATACCTGAATATATCGTTTTCACTGTGGAAGAAATGTATGCAATAACCATATTTATTGTTAAACTAGAAGGAGTGCTGTATGAATGGTTCTCCACTGACTGTAGAGTTTGCCACGGTGATGCACTTCCGCGTTGTTACTCAATTTTGTTCTCGACTTTCTTCTCTGAAACAGTGTCTACAATAGCAATGACGAAGATTTCATGCTAAAGGGAAGGCATAGTTCAGTATACCCGGGTACAAGTCTTACTGATCTGGAGTATGTAGGTGACATTTGCGAGTAGTACGGGCAGCGGGTTATGCTTTGACGGTTTCCGTTGCAGCACAGCTGTAAAAGTCGGCCTCTGTTTTAACGCCCGGAAATTTAAATTTGTGAAGAGCCGATTAGATACGACTGATCCGCTAGTGGATCAGATAGGGAAAGCCATAGAGAAAGTCGACCAGTTTAAGTATCTCATCATATTTGTCTCTAGCGATGGCAGTATCCAGTTAGAATTAAATAGGCGGATCGCCCTCACATTCAGTGCCTTTGATAGTTTGCCAGATATTTGGGCTGAAGAGGGAGAACCGTTTTTACATAATTATGCCCGTGCCTTGCCTCTCTCAAGTCCGTGTGATTGTATGCCATGAAAACAAGGATTTAGCGATTCAACGAAAGAGTAAGAACGACGGTTGAGCTGCAGACAGCAGCGTTGGTTTCGATGGATAATAAAGATTAAATGACAAGGCCACGTAAGGAATGACTCCTTTCTGCTCCAGATACGTGATTTCAGTTAACATGGAGATTAAGTAAGGGAGGTTAACGCTGTAGACACACCGATTGAGCAGAAATCATCTACTCCAGCTCATGAGCTTTTCGCATGAAAGCCGAAATGCAGTAAGCGTCAGCCGGGAGGACAGTATGCAGTGTGGTAAAACAAAGGAGAGGCCGATCTGCCATGGGAGAGGAATATTTACGAATGCGATGCAGTGACCGGCGCATGAAAGAAAACGTGTTGTAAAGCTGCGAACACTGGACGTCACAAATCAGAGAACCTGCTTCTGCAAACGGCCCGTGGTGATTATCACAGATGCAGCCTCCCATTGGTTGGAAAACGACTGCACTGTTCAGGCTGTCAACGGAGCTCATATCGGTGTAAGCAAATCCCGATCTCTGATTCACAAAAGCAGGCTCCTGTTCACGTTGGAGCAACGTGGCTGCTCTACAACGATCTGTCTTCCTTGCTGTAATGAGACAGAGTATTAAAAGACATGATGATGCATGTTCCGCAGGCTAACACAAATCCTCGAATTTGCTACTTGATGTCTTCGCATTCTTGCACTTAAATTATTTCCCAAATTATCAGTGAGTAGCATGACATAAGAAGGCTTACTCTAGACCAGTCGCCGAACACTTCAGGCGTCTACAGCTGAATAAAAAGCAGAGCAAAAGCAACTTGATTTTCAGGCATCGTTTTCTTCATCCCAGTAGACTTTGTTTAAATGAAGCTTTCGATTTTCGCGCCTTTGTTTGGTTATCAATCTTTTCTGGACTGTGGTATTCGGAGGGTATGGACGATATTCCTTTCTTGATATCCGATCAACGTCATTTCTATATTTAGCATAGTCTCATTCTCTGAGTCAAGCTGTTGAAGTACAATAGTTGACTAAGCTAATATTTTTAATAACGGGCCGTCACCGGTTCGGTCCTGATACCATCTTTGTTCCTGTTTAACTTGTAAGTGGGGGTTTGTCTGACACAAAATCTCTAAATTGCGCTGTTCAGATGACCTTGAGCTATTATAACATGATTGACGTTTTTAAATATCGAGGAAGTCTTGAAATGAATCCACGTATGGCAGTTGTGATCAAATTCGTACAAGACCATCGTGTCGCGCTTTCACCTCGATAACAGAAAGTCGTAGCTGCATGATGTAACGTTCTGTGAATGCAAAGAGAAGATGGGCTTTATTCGCTGTCTTCCTAGACTCGAACATTTCAGGTTATAACCTCATTGAGCGCTGACATCGATGTTCCGTTGCTGCACTTGCCATATATAAGCTGGCGTCCTATGAACATCAAATTTTGGCTTTGCCTTTTCAGCGTATGATCAGGTAATTTTCGCATCAGCGATGTAGTGACCCAGCTAAATTCATTAATGCTGACGAGGAGGTCGATCTAGTGTTTGCTTGTTTTTGTTCAAATTTCAAACATCCGCATTCCGAACTTTCGATGAGCGCCAGACTTCGAGAAGTCGACGAATACGAACGAACTCACACTGTTCCGTAGCCATTTTACGGAGACGCCTATCATTTTCGGCTAAAAGTAGGAAGGCCGTTTCGGAACATTTCGCCTAGTCAGATTATATCCATTGCCTACAACAGCTAGTGAGCTTTACGAAGAACAATGCGGTTCAAATGAACGTTTGACTCATGGCTCCATTATTCGTCATCGTGGTTTCGATTTGTCACGGAAGTTATCATCTTCCATTAACCGTATAAAAGAAGAACATATCAGATGTCCATACCGCATTCCGAAACTCTGACAAGCATCCCAAAACCGGTCTATATTCAAAGTTAAACGAGTTGAAAGATTATCGGCCTTTTTACCGCTGAATGTCCGCTGTAAAAATTAAGCGGTAATAATCAGAAGTGTGCAACATAACACACCACAACATCAACTGACTTGCGAGATTAAGGCTGAAACTATGATGCACTGACAGAAGTCAGACGACACAAACTGTTTCGTTTTGTGTTTCTTTTGCTTGCTCCTAGTAATCCTAGTAATTTGTTTTACACGTTCGTTTCGTTGTAGAGTTCTGACGAATGCCAAGGCGTCGAACTTGCCGTTTCGCTGTTCGTGCGGGAATATGTTCCTTTAAAATCAGCACTGGTTCCTTCTGACTCTGACTTCGTGATTCACTCGATTTTCGAAGGTACTGGTTTGTCCTGCTGGCGTATTGATTCGTTTTCGCAGTCAGTCACCGGATTTCTTCCAGATCCTGTTGACAACCATAGGTACTTCTGCCTCCATTCCCTGGGCGTACATGTGTTGCGAATCAACTGGATCTCAGATTTGAATTTGCGCGATTGCAAAAGTAATTTATAAGTTCTATGCCTTGCACAGCGTTGCTCCGTAATCAAGTTTGTTGCAGGTATTAACGACGTTCATGAATGCGATACTTCCGTTACGTTCGAACTGGCATTCTATCATGATCCACTTCCCAAGTCAGTCGTGATACGTTTTCTTTCACCGTTTCTCCAAGTGTGTTGCTCTAAGCTCGCGTTGTGCTTGCAGGAACGTTTCAACTTTGCTTCTCGGCATTGCAGTGCTTTATCAACGCCCACTGAAAGCTGTTCTGATGCTCGTTGATCGAGAGTTTGTCGTTCGCGGATATTCGGTGAAGTGAGTATGCGAATGCATACAGGAGTTTGCATTTTCAGGTGTACGAAACGAAACCGGTTTGTTTTGAACTCAGTGTTTTTGGGGTAATCTGTAAGAAAATAAGTCACGAGGATGCAGAGGAAAGGACCTACCTTCATATTTAATTGTTATAGGCACGAAGACGCTTCAGGGCTGAAAGACTTTATTCACAGTAATGACGTTTCCCGCAGCAAACACATTGTCGATCATCAAAAGTCACTGACTCGCTGGAAATTTTCTGTACCGCTTTATATTTTCAGGGGCGATTGCTCAAGCTTTAAAAGACATGGCGGTTCTCTGGTTCGCCACTCAGCAGATTCTTGCGTGGACAGTTCATTAATTGACGAGATGAGAAGTTTGCTTCGACGAAGTCAATCGCTGCCCCATTATGCGTACCGAAATACACCTAGCCTAGCATTCGTCATCGTTGTTTAACGGTCACGTTTTAGAAATTTTGACAATCCTGAACCAGAACAGTTCTACAACTTTCTGCAACGTTATTCGATGATCTTAAAAACCGAATACATAGAAAAATTACATTTCGCAAAGAATAGACTTATGGAAAGGTACGTGAATTTCGAATGCTACTGAAAAAGCTGTGTAGAACAAAGTAATAAATTGTAGTAAATTAAAAATGCGTTGGATATTAAGCACGAAGTTGTCAGAACCCTAAGATAGAATTCGCTTTTTCAGCGTGACAGTAATGAGAAACCAGGCAATACAGTTGTACAATGTGTGCAACTAG